CGAATAATAACATCAAGATCACATGTGCGGATTCTGACACATATAGAAAATTATTGAAATACTTGAAGGAGAAACAGATCATCTTCCATACTTACCAACTAAAAGAGGAAAGATCATACAGAATAGTAATTAAATACCTTCACCACACCATGAATACAAAAGGCATTGAGGAAGAGTTATGGGCTATGGGCCATAAAGTAAGGAATATCATCAACCCCAGACATAGGACAACCAAAGAACCCCTAAATCTATTTTTTATAGACCTCGAGCCTGCCAACAATAATCTGAAGGTCTTTTAAATACGAAAATTGTTAAACTGTATCATTGCCATTGAACCGCCCAGGAAGACGAAAAACACAGTTCAATGTACCCGTTGCCAAATGTACGGCCCCACAAAGACCTACTGCAATAGGCCTTACGTTTCCGTAAAATGTAGCGGATCCCACATTTCCGCAGCCTGCAAAAAAGGAAATGATACGCCGGCCCTTTATGCTCTCTGTGGAGGTCCTCATCCGGCTAACTATAAAGGTTGCGAGTACTATCATCGCCTTAATAATAATAATAGTCATAATAACAACTCTTCCACCAAACCTCCTACTCAACCAAAAACAACGGACAAGCAAACCTCAACCCATCAAATAGACGCTTCAGTCAAGAACGCAGTTACGCACATGTTACGAGGGGCAGCAACAGTTCAAACAATCCAACACCTACACAACACAAGGAGGATGAAAACCTCGGTAGCTTATTAAACAAATTCCTGGCAGATTTAAAAATAATGTTCAATCAATTAATGCAGCAAAACAGCATGGTGTTAAACATGCTCTCAATGCTTGTCGGCAAGCGCAATGCCTAATTTATTACGCATAGGATTATGAAATGCTAACGGCTTAGCACAACATAAAGAGGAATTAAAAATTTTCCTCAGTACTAATTTAATAGATATACTGCTGGTTAGTGAAACTCATTTTACAGAAAAAACATATTTTAAAATACCACAGTACCGACTTCATCACACTAATCACCCAGACAATACAGCCCATGCTGGGACCAATTGGGAGCAATTTAAATTAAAGACTCGATCGCCCATTATCCATTAAGTAACTATTCAAAAGATTGCCAGCAAGCTACATTTATCATGGTAGTAACCCAATGTGGAAACTTGGTAACTTCAGCAGTCTATTGTCCGCTCAAACATAATTTAAAGGAAGAAAATTTTCAGGATTTCTTTAGTACCATTGGCCCCAAATTCATAGTAGGTGGTGACTTCAACAGCAAAAACACATTATGGGGCTCTCGACTAACCACTGCCAAAGGAAAGGAATTAGCTAAACTGCTACAGGAAAAGAAATACGCATTTCTATCCTCTGGGACACCAACTTATTGGCCTACTGATCCCATCAAGATTGTTCATTCCCTACACTCATTCCCAATGCACAGACTGTTACGATCCTCCATAAAGACGCGAATCCTTCAATTAGACATTTTAACTAACATCCTTTGAACCTCTACCTCCATCAGGAAAAACCCAGACCTCTACCTTATCCCTATTTCCATACATACCCTCAAGAACAAGGGACCCGAATCGAAGGTTTACTCGTTTATAACCAGCGTCCCACGATTCGCGGACACCTCGACCTCCGAGTCAACACCCATAAAAGAATTAGAATTTCCCAAACCTAAACAAATTAACAATTTGTTTAAACTTCCACTTCCACCTACCAGTTCTGAGCCTCCTGCACATCCCTCCAATGAACACGCCGCCAATAGGAGAAAAAACACACCCACCACTTAGACATCTCGTTAGCCAATGACAGCAACAAACGAACATATAAAAATGCACGACACCAAGAAGACAGACAGTACAAACATCAAAACAACACAAACGACACCACGGTAGAACGCATATCGCTAAGACATATTGTAAATTGCTGTAGATATATTGGAATTAAATTATATTTAAACCTTCAAAAATAGTTTACGTTCTTAGAACGACGTAAGCCTTCGTCTGAATTCTTCATACGTCATTATGGGTAAAAAGAAATATCTATCTCCATTTTATAATTATCTTTATTCTTTCGAAGGTATATCTGAAGTATTTTGACTGTTCTCGCAGAGAGTCAAAGCTAGAGTGAATAAAAATGGTATGCGATTGCATCTCGTTCTGGTCCCCTAATTCTTATCTACTGTGTGAAATAAGCACTTCACGCATTCCCGGAATCTCTTCGGCGCATAGTTTAAAGATATATCTATTTCTCGTGAAAGATTAATTTTTGTATATTCGATACGTTAAGACGTATCTTATTTTCAACATTACGCATAGCGAAAAATGTTTCGTATGCAGTTGAATAGTTTTAAGAGAGGCATATGTCGATGGTACTAGTTTTTTGTGGATGGACGTGTAAAGGACATATGAAGGTCATGAATACCTTTTTTTATAAATCCGCCCATCGTAATTGTAAATAATTCATGTAAAAATGCCTTATAAAACACTCTCGCTAATAGACATAAACACTTACTCTGCACTGATAATACTAATCATAATAATCATAAACTTTCCTGCAAAATACTACAAGATAACAAAATCGAATGCTTCACGTGCACCTCAAAAAGCGAAAAACCAAAAACACTATTGCTCAAAAACCTTGAAAAAGATTTTGATCTTCAACAAGTGCTCGACGAACTATTAAAAATCAAACTAGATAACGTAACTTTTATTTCTGCAAAAAGATTTGAAACGAAAAAGTCCGTAAGCGAGAGTAGAAGCCTATCCTTCTACCTAATCCAACTATCCCCCGATAGCAAAATTGAAAACTGGAAACAAATAGAAATCCTTTTCCATTCACTTGTCTCTTGCGAAAGGATTAATAAAACTGATAGACTCCAATGCAAACGCTGCCAACGAATTGGCCACGTTACAGATAACTGCAATCTGGGATACAGGTGTGTCAAATGCAATGTCCGGCACAATCTAGGTGAGTGCAAACTACCCTCTTTCACTAAAGACGCAGATGGAGTTAAGGTCCAGCTATACTGTGTGATTTGTAAAAATTTCGGTCACACAACATCATATATAAAATGTCCACAGGTTAAAGAATTTAAGCATAAAATTGCGGTAAAAGGATCAAACTAAAATTGGAAAGAGGAAAAAGGATAATATCCTACAATAAGTACACTAAACAACATATATCCTATAGTAACATTGTAGCAAAAAACAAAGAAATACACCTCACACAGATCCTGCCTCAAACACCATTTATGAACCCGTCGATGCAGTTACCGCAATCCTCAAATACCACGTTAATTGATGAAATCGAGAAAGGATTTCTCGAATCCCTAATAAACTAACTATCGCACATCATCGCATGTGTCGAACAAAATTCGATAAAAATCGAAATAATGGCCAGTGCGCTGGATCTCGACTTCCTATCGTAACAAAAAAGAAAGAAAAAATATCTAACGCCTCAAATTTTTGAAAATCCCCAAAGAAAATTAAAATCAATAATCTCACAATAGCGCAGATTAATTTTAAAAATGACAATACAGTACTGCGTATAACAATCTACACAGTACTATACACAGGGGATTAATCTATTCGCCGATGACCCAAGTTCTACAGCAATACTAGAATGATCAATGGATAGATCAATTATCGCTAGAGATATTGACAAATGAAAATAGAGCACTGAGTATAGCAGTCTACACAGTACTACGTCCACTTAGAAAAGCCAATGAAAAACCTTTGTTCATTCGTCGCAAATATGAAGCGAATCGCCGCTTCCATTTGAGACTCCGGTTATCACTGCTACGTGCTCCTCACTCACACCACCTTATCGATAACAGAAGCTCGCATAATCTTACCAACTCTTACAAACAGGTTATGGGCCCAGGGCTAAATAAAAGTCAAATCTGGTAATAATAAAAAACGAAAAATGAAATAATTAAAAATTTAAAACAGTTAAAAAAAAAATGTGGTCGGCAAAAAAGATGGCGATGTGGAACGGTCATAACGGCGACGACATAACGCGAATCGGACGATTCAAGGATGAAACAAATTTTTAATTGTGGAAATTTCAAATTACCATCGTGTTGAAGTGAATGAATGCGTACGACGTGGTAACCGAGAAAGAAAAACCAGACAAGGACAGAACAAGTTGGTAACTCGAGGATGCGAAAATTCAAAAATTAATCACAACGTCTACTGACAGAAAACCCCGGATGCATCTCCTCAACTACACTGCTTCGAAAGAAATGTTCGACAAGCTAGTGACTACACACGGCTAAGAGACACACAACAAATGCACACATAAGAGAACGGGTAAAAAGGGTGATTTTAATAATGAAAGAGGTGCAGGGGATAGGAAAATAGATACTAAAAGGCGATTTTAGCGAGTGAATGTTTATATTCAACTTACTAGTGGTAAGTGGTCTGATATATGGTGCCGAAATGTTTGAGTAGAAGGAGTGCGAAAGTTTGGGAAATGTACAAATAAGATACATTAGATGGTGTCTGAGATTACACAGATGTACACCTGGGTATATAGTACTAGACGAAAGTAAGGTAAATAAATTAAGGATAAAGACAGGGCAGAAAGAAAAGGTAGCAAATAAGTTAGAGATAAAGAGCTATTTAAATAGGCTAGAGTACTTGAGGAGAAATGGTTTATTTGAGGAGAATGGTAAGCCAGGAAGGTTTAGAGACTTTGTATACAGAGCATGAGTTAAGCGAAGCAGGAATCTATGAGAAGGATAGGGAAATTAAGAAATTTTATTGCCAGGCGAGAAATGAACACAAAATAAAAAATGGATTAAAAAAAGTACCTAACAATGGACGGGAATCAAACCCCGACCTGCAGCATAGGAATTTTCGGACGTCGCCGCTGGGCCACAACACTACTTCAAAACTAGCAAAAATACAGGCGGCCCTCGACTTTCACACATTCTACGTTCATACAATTCGCTATTTCGCACATTTTTTACTTCTGATGCAGGACCCGCCTTGCGCCGGCCCTGCATCAGACTACAATGTTGTTCGCATCAAGAGGTCAAAACAGTTTCAGTTTTGCATTAGGGCGTGCGTCAACGTGTTGTGTGTTTTGCTAATTTATTTGTTTAAGCTTAAATATTATGCCCTTATAAATTGATAAACATGAGTCAGAAACGAAAAAACTGCAGTGTTGATACCACGAAAAAGAAATTAAGGACTCGTAAAAACTTCATACGATCGAGACAAAGATAGAAATAATTAAACGTTCTGAAAACGGTGAATCTTTTGCTTCAATCGGACGTTTGTACGGTGCAAACAGATCTACGATATGTTCTATTTTGAAAAATAAGAGTAAAATTAAGGAATACGTTTAAAATTGTGGAAATATATCTTCAAAGATTATTTCCGAAAGACACGGCATAGTGATGGATGAAATGGAAAGATCTCTGTCATCATGGATTGACGATCAACATCAAAATAATGTCCCTCTGAGTTTTTCAATTATTCAAGCTAAGGCTGTTAGTTTGCATGAAAATTGGAAGACTAGATTAAATGAAGATTCTAACACGGTATTTCAAGCAAGTAATGGCTGGTTTGACAAATTTAAAATGAGATATTCTTTACACAATATTAAATTCACTGGAGAATCGGCCGATGCAGATAAAGATGCTGCGAAAGAATTTATTTTCTCATTGTCCAAAATTACTGAAGATGGAGAACATTCTCCTAGTCAAATATTCAATGTAGATGAGACGGGCTTGTTATGGAAAAAATGCCTAATCGTACATTTTTATCGAAGAAAAAATCAATTGCCCCTGGACATAAGCCTTCCAAAAACCGATTGACATTACACTTCTTGGTGGAAACTTAGCCGGTGATTTACAACTGAAGCCACTGTTAGTTTACCAAGCAGAAGATCCCAGAACATTGAAAAGGAAAGGTAAAGAATTACTTCCCGTCATTTGGAAATCAAATAAAAATGCCTGAGTTACTGCGTTAATATTTAAAGATTGGTTCACACATCATTTCGTGCCGACAGTTAAACAATATTGTAAAAATAATAATTTACAATTTAAAGCATTATTAATCTTAGACAATGTCCCAAGACACCCAAAATCTCTGCATAATTTATACCCGGAAATCAATGTTGTGTTTCTTCCTCCCAATACTCTACCTGCCTCATACAGTCCATGGACCAAGCAGTGATAGCTACATTTAAACGATATTATATGAGGACAATAATGACTAAGAGCCATCAAGGCAACTGACAGGCAAGATGGGCCAACATTAACAGATTTTTCGAAGAATTATAATATATGAAACGCAATAAATAGTATTGGAGACTCCTGGGCCGAAATAAAAGAGTCTGTGGCGGCCCGCGCACAAGCGCGCCAACACAATGTTGCGCGATGACTCCCTTTGGCGGTCCGGCGGCACGCGGTGCCCGGGCCGCCAAACATACATTGTATTGGCGGAGATAATATCTCCAGCCAAAATCGTCGCTGACGATGCGTCGCGTTTTCGGCATGAGTTTCGAAGACTCAGTCGAGCTCGAGCTCTCGCCAGCGACGCAACCTATACAGGATTTAATAAAGCTTCATCCCGCACCCACAAATCGACAATGAAAGGTTCCTGGAAACAATTATATAATAGGATAAGCGATTTTATAAATTTTGAAGAAACACCGGAAACTCTCACAGATGAAATAGTTAGCGT